CAGGACAGGTTGACAGCAATCGGAACCGAGAAGAAGCGAAAATGATTTACTGGGTAATAAACTCGGGTCAAAGAGAACATAAATAATTTCATATGTGATGACTTGGGATGGGATTATAAGGAACTTACATAAACGCTACGCGAAGGAAATCAGTATATCTGATCACGTTGAGGCATATATCAAATCGATAGTACTCAATAAAACACTCGAAAGCATCCCATTCGATCAGCGCCGTGGACTCGACGGGGACGAAGCAGCGGAGACTAGCTGGACAGAACTGAGCGCGGAACGAGTGCAGCGAGAATGCCGAAACTTACATAAACATACGATCCAGAACCAGAATCAATAATGAAGAAAAGAATAATAACCTCCGTGTGATACTGATTGATAGTGCAATCAAATAATTTAATGATACCATTTAATCGGGTGTTACTTTTTACCGTTCATAAAAAATAAGCAGTGATGAGATACTTTTTATGGATGAAAAAAAATAAACTTACAATATACTTTGCTTCGTCATCAACAAGAAGAGGTATATCCAGCAATCGCTGAAAGCCATCCTTCATTTTATCCACATCGTTCAGGCAGAATGCTGTTAGGATGGAATTTAATGCCGTTTTGTAGTTACCTTTTTCATCCATGCAGTGCTCAAATATACTGCTTGCTTCTTCGTATTCACCACATTTTACAAATGCAACTCCAATATTATTCATAATTTTTGCCCTATAATTGTAAATGGAATGTTGAATTCATTTTGTAAGAAAACGCAGTAATTAGAACAAAATTTTGAAACATTCAAGTGAAAAGTTTGCTTTCCGATTTCAACTTGCATTTTCACATTGAGATTTATTATTTTTAAAATCACTTCATCTCGACAAAGCGCGTGCTTTTGCAGGAAAATGAAGCTCGTTTATGCCGATGGCAATCATATATGTATATGCTTTTACCTTGTGTGCTTCTGAGAGCTCGGTATATGATCTAAAGCTATTTGGTAGAATTTGATTGCTTTTTTATATTCCTTTTTTTTGAAATAAACATTTGCCATATTTGCTTTCAGACGACTTGCGTTAGAAAACATTTTATTCCTCACAACCACTTGATAAGTAATGAGCGCTTCCGTCAGAAGACTGTTTGCCATGTACTGAAAAAATATCTATTTTGAATTTTGTTTCTTTCGAATTTTGTTTCCTTCAATGCAAAAGTAATGAATGCATGGATAAGTACAGACTGTTCTTTTTCAACTGAAATAATCAGTTATTCGAAGCTCTAAAATATGATTGATTTTCCTTCACACCATTTGGCTGAAACTGACCTGATGAGCTAAATTGAACAGAACAGTGAAGGTAAGATCTAAATTGAGATGTTCTGTACTAGATAGTTGCTCACGTATTTTTACAACCGCCCGTTCACGCCGACCAGCCTCTTTGGCTTTTTCAAGTGCCTGAGGACTTGAAATCAATTAATTGGAAAAGTACATGCGAAAATAAATCAATGCTCACTGTGATTCAGTTCAATATAATTAAATGTGTCATTGACCAGAAGGAATGATTAACAACCTTTTTCATATCTCCTTTTTCCCAAGCAAAAATACTGTCCTTGAGCAGTTCATTCACTTTTTTTTCCATTTGGCGACACTTTTCTTCATCACTTACTTCTGCTGTCTTTTCCATTATTGTCATTTTTAGTGGATTGAATGTCCCTATAGTGAAGTGATCATTTATAAGTTGTTTTCTATCACAAGAATCAAAGCTTCACTTTATAACCTAAGCAATTTGTAGTTTAGTACCTTGAGCAGAAGAGGTATATCCAGCACCTCGAATAGCTGTTATGGGTCTACTTGGTTCGGCTCCACAGTGTAATGCAAGAGGTGACTGCACCATTCCACTTCCGAAAACTCTCTGACTAATCGGAGTTGAGAGAGCCTTCATATGGATATTCCCAAGTTGGGCTGATGAAGTTCTCTGAAGTTTCATACTTTTCGCAAAAACTATGATTTATGAAGCCTCGCAAAACTAAGAGACAACAAATTTTTTATTTCTCTTTTCCTGCAAATAGATGAAAGATATTATGCTCATATAGGGTTCAAATAATTTTCAATCTCTCCTCATTAATCTGAAATCAATAAGAAGTAATTACTTTCACATAATTATTTCAGATACCACAAATAAACTTGCGGATAATAAAAATTAATTGAATAGAGGAAATAACTGTACCGGTCTTCTTCCGTAACTTGATCTAGCCACGGCCTGTTGAAAAACTTGATCTTCAAGAACATTCTAAAAATACTAGACCATATGTTTCATGAAAACTGAATATAATTATTATATACTGAAGGTAATATTACAATATTACAAAGGTGAGGTAATAGTGCAATTAATACATACTAAAATACTGAAGCATATTTTTGATGAAAACTGAATATAAGTTGATTTTCAAAAGAATTAGCTCTGAAAATAATCTCACTCACAGCTTTATAAAAGCCTGAAACTGAAGTAGATCAAAGAAAGTAATGGCTATTGATTGCCTCACCTGAGCATCGTATGCATAGTTATAATCATTGAAACCTTCATAACGATCGATCATATTGCAAAGTACTAAAAAGTATTGCACTCAGCAGGCTGAGATGTCATCGACTTCAGTTGCTAGTTATTACATTTTCACCATGACAACGGTTATGATGAACAATTTGAGAGAACTCCTCTGCAATCCAAAAATTTAAATTCTTTCATATGTATAGTATTAAAGTAATATTTCTGAATGCAAAAAACAGTGGTAAATCGTTTGGTATTTCTTGATATTCTCTTATATTTGCATCAAATTTCTTTAGTTTTTGTGCACAGTTTCAAATGACTGCAAATTCCAGTTTAAGTATTGAAACCTTCATAAAAATGATTGAATAATCATTTTTATCGCAAGTATAAGACTGCAGACAACATACTACTAATCTTCTTGATCATACATATACGCAGTAAATATATTGGTTCATTACTGTAACTACGTACGTGAAGTGACTGATGGGAAATTATTTCCTGATTGGCTTGCTGTTGCAGACCGTTTACCCTGACTGGAATCTACTTCACGTTGTATTCTCAGTTGGCGTACTTTTTCTGCTTTCGATAACTGCAAAAGAATTAGCGGTGCGAAAAAACATCAAATGTGCATTGAGTATTGGTAGATGGTTGTTTAAACATAAATAAAACAATACTTCTTGTGAATTTATGAGTAATTTTTACAAAATGGGAATGTCAATATATCAGGTACATTTAAACTTTTTAGTTTGGAAACTATGGGCGAAGAAAACGATCCACCTTCTCCCATGCACTTGTGAACTTCAGACATACCAAGATCCGTACAGTCTCACCACAAACTTCAAACGTATAATATAAATGGTATCAATGATTTTATTATATATAACACAGAAGACGCATGATTAGCAGAAAATCGCAAAAATATATTGCGCACACTATAGCCGCATCACATATTGTGGTTTTCCTCATTACTAGTGTCATGAAAACATCATG